AACTTTGTATTCATTTCGAGTATTTTTAGATAAAGTAAAAGTCGAACAGAATGAAACTTCAAATTGCGATGAAATTGAAAGATAAAAGTGAAAACGAACACAATTGAATCCATCAAATTTATCGAGTGAAAATATAGTAGGTTTATTATTGCAGAATAAAGTGCTCGTGCTGCGTTCAAAATTCGTCGTCAATTATTCGCGAAATATTCGACAAATACTATCGTGGCATTCTGGTTGTCAATAATACGATTTCCTCGTCCGGACATCGAACTCTTGTCGACACATTGTACGCGTTTCCTTAAACTTGTACCATGCATGCTACACATTAACCTCAGGAAAATTTATTTGAAATAATACGCCTATATAATTATATATTCTTTTCTTCAATTCGAGTAATTCGAAATTTCTTACTCTACTTTTGTAAAGTGATTAGTAATTTTTAATAGCTTATTTTGAGTTGATTTCCAATAGTAATTTATATTATTGGACATTTATATCTATTTATTTATTATCTATTTATTTATATTTAATTAATAATTTTCGATAAATTCAGTAACTGAACTTTTTTGATATAAGATCATTGGAAAATTTCTTTCTTTTTTTAATTTGAATAATTTTAAGTTTTTTATCTCATTTTTTAATTTAATCGTGAATACGAATTTACTTAAATTTTATTTGGAATCTGAATTTTAATCTATCTTTAATGATAGAATGAATTGGACTTATATACTGACTGTTGATTTTTTAAAAATTTAGGATTCTATTCAGAAAAAGAAAAAATTCTCTTTTTCATGAAAATTAAAAAAACTTTTTAAATACATTGAAAATTAGATTTAATCATGAGTAATAAATTATAACATATTCGTGTTTTAAAGAAAGAAAAATTATGATAAAATATTTATGAAATATTGGAAATAATATTACAAAGAATATTCATATATATCACAATTGAAAATTTTTATATATAATATATAAAAAATATAATATACAAATATTCATACTATTCAATGTAATAAATAAATATCTGATAACAATACCATTAGTATTTTGTAAAATTGTAAATAACAATTTCAAAAGAATTTTTAATTTTTGTAAATCAATTTTGATATAACATTTGCGTCATATTTTTTTGAAAAAGTGTAAAATATAATTTTAACATTACCTAACAATTATTAATTTATGTAATAAATAAATATCTGATAGCAATACCATTAGTGTTTGGTAATAATGTAAATAACAATTTCAAAAGAATTTTTAATTTTTGTAAATCAATTTTGATATAACATTTGCGTCATATTTTTTGAAAAAGTGTAAAATATAATTTTAACATTTCTTTAGAATTATTAATTTATTTTCTTAAAATATGTATTAAATAAAATAAAAATTTAAGTTTGCTAGTTTTGAAGAAGCTGTACATTGTAACATATGTTACAAATATCAACAGGTATGTACAAAACACATATTATATAAGTATATTTGTTTTATAATGTGTATCGTGAACTCACAATCGTTATCTAGCAAGAAATGATTACTTTTTGATTCTAATTTCATTATGCTTATTATCAAATTTTTACATAGGTATTTCGAGATAATCAACCTTCAGATTCCTTTTCATTTTGAATTTTATAACGTATATCATATTTTTAAATTTATCTAAATGTTTAAAATTTGAAATATATCCAAGTTAAACATGCGAATATCAGAACTTGGTCGTTTCGCAAATAACTAATATTTACTTTGAGCGACTGAATTACGAGATATCTCCTTTTAGTATTCTGTGCCACACTTTGACACTTACTTGTTTGATGAAACTATTTGAAACGTAAATTACTACTTTTGAAACAGTAACCATGATTTCCCTCGCTTTATAGGCTAGAAGTACACCTTTATAACTTCTAATGAATTTTTTTAGTACTAACATCATATATTCCAAACCTCTCAAATATACTATATCGTAATACATTTACCAAATATAAACTTTATAATAGAAACTTTCTAAAAAGATATAAATTAATGATTTAATAATATAAATTTAATATATAATTCAATATAAATATAAATTTTTATAACAAACTACAATTTCATATTTTTAGTATCATTACTATACTATTTTATATATCGTATATCAGAAGATACGCTTTTACCCTAAAACACTCCTCAACGAAGAGTAAAACATAATTTTTAAACATAGCTTAACCTCAATTCAATTTTCCAACTAGCTTCGGTATTTATTCTACGACCACCTTTTAAAATTTTCCCGCCACACGCACAATTCGAATTTAAAAAAAAAATGTCTACATTTTATCGTATCGTATTACCTTGAGTAACGCGGTTATTCGACTACGAGTATGATTATCGACATAGCAAACGACGAGGACGCACGAGGAGGTAGGTGGAAGGGAAAAAAAGGACAAGGTAAAGGGAGAAACACGAAAAAGAAAGAAGGAAAAGCGAAGCGTGAAATTCCGGCGGGCGTCTAAAAATAGTCGGTTACAAAAAGGAATAATAACGCGGGTACGTATATATCTGGTCGCCGGGTAAAAGCGTCGGCCTATTTATGTATCGCTCGGTAGAGATGGAATCTCGATCTCTTCGCGTGGTCGTTAACATTGTTTGCCCCTGGAAGAGAGCCGAAGGAATGTGAAAAGCTGCGTCGGCAAATGGCGAGCAACAACGCCGTAAGGCCGGTCGCGCTCCTTACCGCGCTCTCTATTTTCTTCTACGGTATTTCCGAGCCGAACCCTTCTCAGCGTGTCCGCGACCACGTCCGTATGTGAGAATTTCACACAAAATGTTCTGTCCGTTCCCCTTTAACGAAACTGTGACGAGCAATAAACGAAGTAACGAAACATAGGAAAAGGAAAAATATATATATTCGCAACACGTCTAGCTACATAAATATCACCAGAAGAGGCGTCTCAAAGCAGAGAGAGAAATTGCGTTTCGTCTAGGTACTTCGTTCGTCCTCGGCGAACTTGAACTTGGTCGAGTATATACGCGTTTTGAAACAAAAAGCACGCGACAGCAGCGTACGAGCATAATGTGGAAAGGGTAAAAATGCGAACGGCAAGCCACGTCGATCGCTATGTAACGATAATATTCTGCGTTCCTCGGCCATCCTATTTCTTTCGCGCGAGCGCGCGAAAGAGCGAACGGTATAGTCGATTCGCAGCACCGCGGGGCATCATCCAGAGTATCGAAGGACAGTAGCACATCCGCTCGTGCACACGATCGTACACCCTCGGGAGTCCTCGTAGCTCTTCGTGAATCCGTTCGTGGACCGCCTGGGGGCCCTACGAGCGTAACACCGGTAGCCACTACGCCAAAAGGGTCGCAGCATTCGCGCGGGAACAGAGAGAAAAAAAGAGAAAGACAGAGGGACACAGGCGGAGAGAGACGGAACGAAAGAAGCAGCCGAGGACGGAATATCCAGGGCCGAGGCCCGAGAGAGGACAGGCTGGAGACTTGGGGGAACTGGCATCTTTTCTTCAAGATGCATTCAAACTTGGGAGAAGAGTACGCCTTAGCGATGGGATCAATATCCTCGCGTACTCTTTCCACTCCATCCTACACCATTCATCGTACCGTTTATTTTTCTTTTCATTCCATCCTCCTATCGACGTGTTACCGGGAATTCAACGACAATTATATGAATGATATATCAATTTTTCGAACTTGCAACGCATCCACTCTTGTCTAAATACAGTTGGAATGTTCATCGTGGAAATACGTCTTATCATTTTTAGGTTAGAGACGATCGCGAAATGTCATTTTACGATGGATCCAGAAGCAGAGTTATTTCGTCGTTAAGGATGGAAAATTTAGGAATCGTTTACTTCTAAATAATATCGTCATTCGAAGGTGTCAGATGCCAGAAGCGATATCGAGGAATCAGTGCTCCGAAGCAAAAGAGCCACGCGCGAGTTCTAGCCGCGAGCGAGCCATGCGAGCTGTGAGGCGCCGAATAGCTTTGAAAACTATAAGACAACCACTAACGATAAGTTAACCCCATCGCTAGCAGAGCCTTTCGTCTTTCTTTGACTATTCCTCTCCTTTTCGCTCCACCGCCACGCATCGACGTGCTCTTTCTCTCTTTCTCGCTACTCGCCGCTACCTTGCACGCCGGAGCTCAGTGGAGACGGGTGGAATAAGAAGACTGCGTTGGATGAAGAGAGACGGAGCGGAGGGGAGAGGAAGTCACTGGCAGGAAAGGCGCGGAGTCACGGGGGGGAAGCAGGGTGGGAGAGAAGTGGCGGAAAGGTGGGGAGGGGGACAGGGTTCGAACGGACGGGAGACATTCCAATCTCTCGTGGCAAGCTTGCCTGCTTTGCTTCGCTCGCTTGTCTGCTTGCCCGCTTGCCAAGATACCGTCGTCCTAAAGCCGGCCCACGCTACATCGAATGGCATACGGACATCGTAACCATGTAATCTCGCGACGCGATCGTTATAGTCGATTTTGCGGGGATAGTAAACGAGTACGAGCGTCTCATCGAACAAACTCGATACATACGTACAAGCAACGTATTGGTAGCGTATTATGAAAAAAGCTCGCTCCGGAGTGGAGAAGAAACTCGGTGACACGCGTTCGAGCGGCTAATTCCAGAGACGAATATCGACGGGAACAGTTACGTAACGTGGTTCTAATGTGTATTTCGCCGGCGGATATACAGAGGGCGTATCTTTCGCCATGTTCACGCGGGAAGAAATTTCTAAGCGAAAATCGCAGCGCTTTCGAAACTAGTCGAAAGAAACCGCGTTCAGAATTTGGTTCCATTTGGCTACACCGATGACGATGTCAATGACTGCGACTTCAGTCTCTGAAACCGTTATGACGCATATATGTACACGTAAAAGGATGTCCTCGGCGGAACGCGCGTGTATATGTACGCGGTGAGCACTATTTCGAGCGTGAAGGTATAGAGATGTATATATGTGTACGCGTATTTCGGTATCCGATACACTTTCCTCGCTGGTCACACTGGCGTTCGCATAGCTAGGTAGCCAACATCGCTTTGGACCAGACATTACACCTGTCGGTACGTTTTAAATTAACGGCCAGGCTGGCCGGTTGTTTCTATTTGCCAAGAGTCACGATATTTCTTATTTCGTTTCGCAGACTAACGTGGACAAGAATGATTGAGACTGGTCAGTGATGAGAACGTCACGAGAACCCGACACTATCGAGCCAGGCGTGACGATCGATAGGTTTCGAGGTAATTAACGTTCACTGGATGTGCATTTTCACGCGCTCACGATAAGCTAACCTGGTGACGTTTATAATTTTATCTATTTTAATGTTTTCAGCAACAACTTCAAAATTTCTTCTGTTTTGTCGAAATAGTGGCAATTATTTTCCTCTACTACAACTGTATTTCTCTTTATCGTTGTACCTCGAGTAAAATATTCGTCAAATTTTTATGGTGTCTTACATCATGGCCGCTTGGTTTAGTATTACTATTTTTTTAATTTTAAACGAAATACTATACATTTAAAAATTTATATCTAGTAAAAAGAAATCATGTCTCGTAAATCTAGTAATCTATACTAATATCTAGTAAATTATATTTAATAAATCTAGTAATATATACTATTACCTAGTAAATTATACCTAGTTAATCTAGTAATATATACTAATATCTAGTAACTTATATTTAGAAAATGTTTTTATAGGAATATTTTTAAATAGGTAAATATATAAATTTATATTAAATTCCACATTGTTGTATAAATTTTTACGACTCTTTTTCTACGTTAATGTTAAATAAAAATTATATTTCTCTTCGAATATGATTTTTGGCGTATCGAATACAAAATGTAATTCTACTTTCTGTACAAAAACTCATACATTTATATTTTAAAAATCATATTTAAAATTCTCCCCAAGCATACGTAAAATAATTCGAATCTTTACATATTCCTATAAACGTGCAACGAAATTCAAGACAATTTTATTCCTCGATATTTCTTTCCATCTCGCAGAAAGATATTTCTGAATGCAATACGGACGTCGAAAAAAATAATTCCACAATGAAACCAGCCCATTATGGTATTTCCTGTTTTGATATTTTCAAAATAGCAATATATAAGCAATACATAAACAGCGACAAATGGCCTCCCGATTCCCCCTCCCGTCCATTTTGTTCTCAGAGTGCAAGCAACAATGCGCGAAGGCGATCAAGTGATTCAGAAATTCTGCGAGATTTTCAGGCTTCCCGGTAGCTTTGGGAATTTCACTGTAGGATTTCTCGCGGACGGCCGTGGGAATGCGAAAAATCCGCGGCTGAATTTCCGCGAAGTATTCGAACTATATAATTTAAAGCATCGAGATCCGCAACTTCCTCCGGCGGTGTCATAATCGGTTTTGTATCTGTCCGCGCGAGACGACGCGACGAGCGGTACGAGAACCGAGCGGGCAAAAATAAATGGCAATTAAAATTCCACTCGCATCTCGCTGCCTCGTAGAGAGTCTCGAGGCATCGTAGAGAGACGGGTGGGAGGGAGACAGCGCGTACGCTGGCCGAGCGGGAGCAAGTGAGAAAAAGTGAGAGAAAAAGGAAAATACTGGAAACGCGTGGAACGGACAGAGACAGCGCGATTGGTTGCCAGCGAACTAGAAAGGGACACGGACACTCGAGTTTCGTAATTTTACGGATTCCAGCCGAAATCTCCGACGATCTTCGATTTGTAAGATTACTTCTACGTTTCTTTTCACGAAATAATATAAATTTTTCTAATTACCCTTGTTTTTTAATGGTGCGTAAAATGAACTAATCGGATAATTTTTAATTTTAGTTCCGTTTAGAATTATTCGTTGTACGTTTCATTGTCCTTTCGTCTCCTCTTTTAACGTTTATTTTAGAGGCTGGAGAGAAGTTGCGAAAATCCTATCTTTTGCAAGGGGAGAGTAAATAACGATTTGAAACGATATTCGCTTTTACGTAGGTGATCTATGGATCCCTTTAAATATTTACAGTCTTGCTAAAAAGAAGATTCATCAAATAAACGTTAATGGATGATAGTATTAATTTCGAAATGACGATAATAATTTATAGCTTACGAACCTCTTATTTATTTTGAAAAATGTGCTTTAAATATCGTGAAATTTAGAAATCTGATTTTATATAATATAATATATGTGTAAAAAATCATTTTTGGAATTAATATGAATTTCTGTGGTGGATATGTTCCTTGGAAATACTTTCCACGCACTGCTTTCGTTTTTTTAATGCCTATAATTATCGATCACTATGCCATAAGCTTCTGCTAATGTAGTTTCACTTTTACCATTCTCAAATTCTCTAATCATCTTATTATTCTGTTTTGTAAACGGTAACGAGAATTTCGAGAAACGGTATTGATGGGGAAATACTGCGTGAACGAGGGGACTCCTAGATCCACGCTAAATTATACATACATGCCCAAGATTATGTTTAATAATATTGTGATAGTGTTGAAATTATATTAAAATGACTGGATAAATTATTAATTAAAATATTCTTAATTAACTTATTATATAACAAATTTCTTTTATTACGAATACACTACATAGTTTTATGGTGAAAACTGCAGAAATTTCGGAAAATAAATAGGGTTCTAGAGTAATAGGGTAATAGGGTTATATTTAAAATATAATAAGGTATTATATTTTAATAAATTTAAATACCTAGTCTTGAGAAATATAAATTTGGATATTAAGATCTCTATTCCACATTTCATTATATCAATATAATTGTCACTTTAGTTAAAAAATGAAAGTACTATCAAATGAATATGCTTAAATAATTATTATATAATAACGTACTATATTTAAATAAATTTAATTCAATTTGGTATATTTAAGTAATAGTTACATTTAATGTATAATAATTTTTACACGTCATTTATTTAAATAAATTTAATGAAATTTGGTATATTTAAGTAATAGTTATGTATAATATAATATTCTTTACGTGTCTTTTATTTAATTAAATTTAATGTACACTATAGTACATTAAGTAATAGTTACATTTAATATAAAATATATAATATTCTTTATATTTCTTTTTATATATTTCCACTGTACATTTGTGTTATGGTAATTAATTCACACAGCATAATCCATGAAATCTCTAAAAAGCACGAGATATGTAATACGCACGCGCGGAGTGACTTGCAAATTTTTTAAATTTCGCGCGCCGCCATCGCAATTGTAATTGGATTTCCTAGGTGCGAAAGAATATACTCCTATCCATCGAGTTTAGGATGGCTTTTAGACCTTACCAACCTACTCGGCTAATTAATAATTAAATACCGTGAAGAATAACACTGACCCACTTGGATCAATGAATTATTAAAATGGATAAGCGAACAGAATTATTACGGTCTATCCCAGTTATGTTCTGTTGTCTGTTCTGGTTCTGATTTTTTGATGTATAACCTTCTCTTTGTTCGAATCAGTTTTTCGTTTAGAAACTTCGACAGATATTATTAATCCTAATTTTTAGTACAGTGTAATTCATACTAATTCATCGTGATATTTATTGTTATTAAAAAAGCACAGTGAAAATCGTCGGGATTACTATTAAATAATTTATTCTTATTTTTATTATTATATTAAATTTTTATGAATTTACGAATAATTTATTTTATACGAGCATTTTAACACTGTAGTAATACTAGTAATATTGTTAGTGATATAGTTAGTTACTAGTGATATTGTTTCTCTCATTTCGGAAGAAATTTCCGAGTTCACCGATTTTTACAATAATAATAAGAATGTTAATAAATTGATCGAAAGAAATTAGAAATTTGAGTTTTATATACATTCAAGTATTTCTGTTGGAAAGTTAATTCATTTAATTAAATCATTTAATAAATAATATAAGTATTCTTAGGCATTTACGAGCATGTACCGTTGATGGGTCAGAAAAATGATCTAAGGGAATGTATAATAATCGGAAACACTATTATCTGAAAATTAAACGGGTTCGACGTATTGCTGATTCGTCTATTGCTGTAATGATAGCCTTAAGGCGATTTTCCATTGAGTACACTAGCGCCACCACGGTTCGTATCTTAGTAAATGTACTGCAAATATCGTACATCTCGTTGAATTATTTTCTAATTTTACTGATACAATCTTTCGACTTCCCCTTGCTATGTATATCACATCGTTTTAAACACTTTTATTTAACGCTCTAACATATAATTTTCATGCAAGACCTATTTCCATATTATAAAACTTCATATGCCTCGTATGAATTATAAAAGGTTCATCTAAAATTCAACAATTTTTCATTTCCTCCAGTGATATAATAAACAGATATTCAAACTATACATTTCATTCAAAATTCGCTCATTTCTAATTTCATTTTTATCCAAGTTATTATAATAAATATTAAAACTTCGCATAAATCATTATAAAAAATTAATAAAAATTCCGATATTTATATCTTTATAGTAAACAAATGTTAAAACTTCGTATGTTTTATCTGAATTATTACAATAATTTCATTTTTAATACGCTTTCCTCATTCAAGCCACTATCACAAGCATATCGCGAAAGTACGTGCCCATTCAGATTCAAAGTTATACACGGTGAACGTGTTGATTCGAATCTTCGAGTATTCGTTAAACAATATTTCGGCTGATTATTAACAAGCGTAAAGGAGTACACTGAACTTCGACTGAAACCATAGTAGGCAATTTTAACGATATTTATTCCGTGCAGGAATCGGAGGCTCTCATGGTGGCTGGTGTAATTCGCTGACGAGCATTAGAGGAATAACACGATATTTAATGGTCTCTCGCGACAGAAATTAAGAAACCGATCGTACAATCCTCCAACCGATAAATAAACTGCTCGCACCAAGGTTAATCTTCGTCTTCGCGAATTCCTCTCTATGAAACTTTCGAAATTCCTCGAGATTACGTCATGGCCTCGTCATCGGTGCTCCTTGGTCTCATTGCCATTGAGACATGAAAATAATCATTAGGGAGACACTTAAGAACGTGTTCTTTTACCAAAAGTTCGTTACGTAACGAAGCAAAATGGCGCAACAGAGGAAAATATTCTTTTTTACCGGATTTAATATATCAAGAGGATGAAATACAACGATATTACGGATTACGATAAAATGATTAATAATAATAATGGGACTGATGGGATAAAATTATAACCACGACAGAAGTGAAATGTACGTTGAAGAAAAGAACGAAGAAATAAAGAAAATCGTTGTAAATTAATTTTTAAGAGCAATAAATGCTTCAATATTGCACGAAAGGTTAAAGTTCGAATTTTGTGATTTGTAGTTTTATTGGTCGTAGAGTTTCTTGTCTATGTTAATACTTGAACCACCGAACTAATCAAAATGACTGGTTTCAGGCTTTTTCTTTGTTCAGTTATTGGAAACGTTCAGCTGTTTTTAGAAAGTAATTTCGAATTTTATTCAGACAGAAGTGTAACTGTATGTGTGTAAGCATATAAATATATTTTTATTTTTATTTTTCTATGTATGATAAAAATAAAAATAATTATCAAAAGGGTAACAACATGAATGGGACATCTGTATGTGACAAAAATAAAAATTATATGTATATAACAGGGGGATTCTACATGAAAAAACGAATCGAAAATGAAGAATAAAATTTTTTCATTCGAAGCTTCGTTGTAGAGAAAATCGACTTTGAATATTCATGGAGTACGCGTGCTTTGGTTTAGATGGAGGGGTCATCAGTATATCAGCGTACCCGGTAAATATTCAAAGTCTATTTTCTCTAAAACAAAGCTTCGAACGAAAAAATTTTATTCTTCATTTTCGATTTGTTTTTTCAAGAAGAATCACCCTCTTCTATATATATAAAATAAAAATAAAAATAAAATATATATAACAATAGAAATGAATATAAATACATATACAGGGTGGGTGTTTTGTCCGAACTTTCTGAAATATCTCAAAAGAAACTAAAGATATTAAAAAACTATTCTTATAAGAATCGTTTAGTATGAAAAGAGACGTAACATAGTGCAAACAATTCTTTTGCACGTGGAACGATATGGAAGATTTCAAGATTGGATTCGTCTTAACCACTATCAAGTTATAAATAAAAAAAAAAATATAAAATTTCATTAAAAAAAATTAATTTTGCCTTCAAATAATTCATAGACATATAAATGTATAAATATATTCAATTACATATTTATTTTTATCACAAAGCATCTACGTAAACTATATATAACTATACATTGCAGTTTTAGTGTTAAATATCTTACACGTCAACGAAAAATATCTAAATATCCTGAAATTTATTTTCGGCAAATAAAAATTTCCCTTTTTAATCCTTCTTATTTTTATTTTAGAATTTCTTTATAGGGAACGCATTATGCGAGATTTTTTTCTTCATAACGTTGCTGAAATACTTAACGCTGTCTTAATTATAGCACGATGCATTACGTTGTTCCAGCACGTCCGCATTCACAATCTAGTATGAACTTAAGAATATAACTGTTCACACAGTATTGTGATGTCTGCACGAAGAAAACGCGCAATGCTAACTATGGAAACTGAGTACGGAACGGCTCAATAATTTAAGAGTTGCAAAAGTGGAATAACGTTAACGAAAATCCGAGATACCGCTAAATAAAGATACTACCCAAAATGATCAAAATCATCGAAGTTTCATATTTATTTGTTTTGAATCTTCGAAGAAGCTGCATTTATGTGATTAAAAAAAATTTATTACCATAACGCCTGGGAGAGGAGAATTAATGATCATCACCAAACGTGCCAGTAATACTATGAAGATCATGATGACTATGATAATTTTGATATCTTAAAGAATTTCCAAATTTTATTATTCTAATATTTTTTTCTTTTTTTAATTATTTGCGGAACAATTTAGTTTTGAATTAATAAAAATATTTCAGAAAATAAATTAATATATCTCCAACTGGATGATTTATTTTTCGTTCCATGAAATAAATTATTTATTATTTTCTATGATTATTTTGTTATTTGAGTTTGGTGAAAATATCAAAGTTTTATATTATTATTGCTCCTTACTAATACTATTAAATCTAGGATCACTAATAAATCTGATTTTCAAATATTTATTCTTAAGGTTATTTCAGAAATGAATTTCCTGAATTTTATGAAATTAATCATATTTCCCCAGATAACCAATTTTTCAATTTATCACTTAATAGATTAAATAAATAATATAATATCAATTTGAATACATTATTTACTCAATAATGATTAACGTTATTTGAAATAATTATTTTCAAGAGATTACTTCCAATAAATTTACTGTATCTAGATCTAGTAAGAATTTGTTCAAACATTTTAATTAAATAAACAATTATATTTGTAAAGTTTTCAGTCTTGGATTAAAAGTATATTTTACAATTTTATTTTATATTTATGGATTATTTTTAATTTATTTTTAACGTATGCAAATAGCCTACGTAATAACGATTTGACCATAAATTGCTTGAGTTTAAACTCGAATTAATTCTGAATTAAATATCATCGTATTCATCGTCCACCTCTTTCAATTATTAACATGGTGGGAAATAATTGGCCGGTTAAAACATGCCTGCGTTCCCCGCGCGATCATAGCGACAATTCTTTATTAATTTTAATGATTCTTGTATCACGAGAACGATCGTGTTTCATAAAATACCGAAGCATTCATATTCGCAGTATTATTATCCTTATAAATCATTAAATAAATTCCTAAGTCAGTGAAGCTTTCCCGACGTAAACAATAACTAATTATGCATTAAAAATTATCACAACGTTAATTTATGATATTTCGGAAAGGAGCAGGAAACTCTGTTAAAAAAATAATAATCGAAACTTTCAAAAGATTCCCTTATTTGCAAAAGAATAAAATTTTGATTTGAAGCGAAAATAATAAGTTTGCAAAATAACAATAAGTGCAAGAATTATAATTGACATTTCTGAAATGTAATTAAAAAAATAAAACGTAGCTTATACCAATCTAAAAATACAAATAACATTAGGAGATTTATATCTCGCTAACCTATAAAAATATATATGTTTGCGATTATTAATTTAAAACAAGAATATACATATATAAGATATTACAGTTTTAAAATATCACAATTACTGAATTTCTATAAATTATTTACGGTAAAAATAATAAACAAATATGTCATAGAAATATAGCAAACTGTAGCAATCCATGGAAAAACCACGTTGTATTAATCTCACGTCCGATTTCAGAACGCCTCTATTGGAGCGAAGAAAAAGCAAAAACAAAAAGGGCAGAAAAGGAATAAAAGAGTTGGACGAATGAAAGAGTAAAAATTGTACAAAGAAGCACGTTGCAGAAAGGTCGCGACCTGTTGATGGCAAGAAGATAAAATCGAAAGCAGAACTCCCGCCTAATCGATGCTTCGTCCTGCACCAGATACCAGAGACACACAGCGGCGAGTGACGATTCTTATACGCGAACACGCGGGGTAATGATGAGACACAATTGGCCACGGATTATCCATTGCCCGACGGAGACCGAAGATACCCGAGAAAGAGACGCGGACAGACGACGAGAGATAGAAAGAGAGGGGGAAGATGGAAGGGGTGAGACGAGAGGTTAGGACGCGGCAGAGAAGGGAACGGGAGAGGAGAGGGCCATTTGCATCGGAATGCAAGCCCCGGCTGAGCCAGTGCCGTGTGCTCGGGACAGCGCGTGCACGCATCGCGCGTATCTACCTAGCTAACGCGTGAAATTTCCAAGGAAGGAAGCCAGCACGCGTTTCCTCGTCGCGAGCCCTCACGAAACGCGCGAACCCGTGTCGCGTCGATCGATTACCTTTTAGCTTGACACGCGAGTTACGCGCAAGCGCGGCCGCCCGGCCAGCGAGCTCCCCAGCGGGAAACGCGACAACTTCCGACCGGAAGTTTCTTATGATTTCTTCACTCGCACGTTTTAACCACGTACACGTTGCAAGCATAATTTGTACCTTTGAAATTCCTGCAGGGAATGGGGAAGTTGTGAGCAGCAGATGAAACGAAATTATTCGAAATTATGATCAATGGGAACACGGTTCTGCTCTGCGATTAATGCGTACTGAAATGTAAACGAGCTGAGCTTTAATTCATTTCTACCACGCGTATGCAGTTTCTGATATACACGGTGAGTCGATTCTTTTTGGTCGATGTTATGTTAACGTTTCCAATAAATAGGAATGAAGAAGAAATGTTATATAGGGTGTAATTAAAGCAGGTAATCAAACTTGGCATTGTATTCTGCTTCGACTAAGAGTAAAAAGAGGTTATGTTATAAATTATATGGTAAATAAATGATCATATTTTATATTTTATATTATATAGATTATAAATAAAGGGTATCCCAAAATTCACGCAAGATTTGAATTTTGTGGCATTTGTGTAGTACAGTATTACCAACGAAAAAAGAGACAGCGTGACAGCTGACAATTCAGGGTTATTAAAAATGCAGCGCTCTAAAGAAGAATACGTATTTATTATTGAGCAATATTTTAAAAATAACGAAGCTTCGTTTGTTTTCTATCAAAATTACTTCTTGCGTGAATTTTGGGATACCCTTCATTTCAATATTTTCTTTCTTTTTTTTTTTATTAATTTTTCGAATATATACTACAATGTGCACACAAAAATTATAAACCAACAAACGTATAAAAGAGTTCACTATCTTCTGACAATTCAAAGTTGTCAAAAATGGAGCGTTACACGAAAGAACAACGCGTTTTCATTGTTGTACGATATTTACAATTTTTAATTAAAAACCTGTGTTTTCTATCAAAATTACTTGCGTCAGTTTTTGAACACCCTTTATCTATATTTACAAGACCTTTTCTTAATTTTTAGGAAAGACGAAATATTGTATAACTGACCACCTAAGTACTTTGGTCACACCTTGTACAGGCACAGGGTGTGAAAACGAAGGTTTAACGAAGTAACGAAACTACAAAACACAAAAAGAATGATAATAATAAGCTGCTCTCGCTATAATAGAAAGGAGGAATAAATCAACGATATTTATCTACACTGTTCACGCGAGCTGCGTTTACTATCCGAGGTCATTAGAGGTATTGCATGTAACTTCTATCAGTACCATTAGTAAGTTGTTGAACTTCGTTCCGAAATACCAAGAATACGGAGACATTATTCGCATTTGCAATAGGAACAATCGAGCCCTGCTTCGAAGGTGTATCAGCACTGATTCTCTGAGGCCATCTATCCATTAACCACTATCATTACGCTATATTCGAAACTGAAGATATTTTAGGGATACGAGTGGAAACAGTTTTATTAACACGTTTGTTACTAGACGTCGTAAGTCCTATTCAGAATTCAACGTTATATACCTGTGACGAAGATTGACATCTAATTTTCAAAACGTGTAGATGATATCAGAGATGTAATAAGATTTTTGCATAATGTAAGTAGTAATAGATCAATAAATATGCTTGGTCAGGTGTAACAAACCGGTTTTTAGTTATTTTAACTCGGTTATTTACAGATTGGTGAAATATTATTAGCAAAGAGTAGGGTACTCACAGTTGAGCGTCATAGGATACAATATCTATGCAAAAATCTAGCACAAATAATAGAGCCACGTATAGAAAGAATATTAACAAAAGATATTATTTCAGTAATTTATATCACAACCACAATAATTATATTTATAACAGCTATATTTATATTTATAAATATATTCATTAACGTGTGAATTTTATATTTTAGCTGCAGCAGAGTAAAAGTGTCTTATTTTAATATGATATACCATTAAACCATAATTTAATAGACATACATTCATATATGTTATGACAATTGAATTGGTCCTATCAGTGTAACCTTTTGCACTAAAATTTCGAATTTAACTCGTCACGAGTCCTTCATTGTAAGCTACACTAATCACGCAACCATAATTATATTTCACACGTTTTAACGTGCACAAAATTCGAAGAAGTTCTAAAATTTTTACTTTATTTTTGATAGGATAAGTATGCAGTGGTTAACCAAAATTAAATACTACTTCAATGCATACTTTTTCAGAATTAAATCGCAGTGTAAATGGAAGATATCTTAAACAAGAGTCCATTGATATCAAACGTAGGATTCATCCATGTAAAAAGACCACCTGAGAAATTATCTCCATTTTTGTTTTCCACAAAAATGTAAAATCGTCTTCCTAAACAACCCTGAACTTCTATTGAGTCTGAACCTGAACATAACTCCTATTGTTTGAACGAGAGATCACGAGTAGTGGGGGAAATAAGTGGCCTGCTATTATTCGTATAACTGCAGTTACACGAGCTCTTTGTCCTCTAACGTGTTCAAATAACTAGAATTCCATCGTATATACATGCTTGGAAAGGTAAAATAAAAAGGAAAGGCAGAGAAAAAAGAAGAAAAAAACATTGCACTCCTCTTCAAAGAGACGCGTGACAGGCCGTTGTTTAGTCTGCGAGACGATCTCCCCTCGCCTCTCGAGTTACGCGTTCCGCGGTTGTCGTCGAGAAGTCTCCAGACAATCTCGAAACTAAAATCGAGCCGCGAGCCAATCTCGAAAATCGACGATGACATCACGCGAGCAGTATTCCGACCGAAATAAATATACCGTACATCGACATTCTCCCACTTCCTGTCGCGTTCCGCGTGAAAAGCAGCCTTCCTATCTCGCAACGAATCGCGCGCGAAATTTGCCCGCGTATATTATCTAACCTGGCATTTACGCTTTTGGAAATTTGCGTTCCGCGAATGCGTGGACGTAACGCGTTGCCGAAATCGTTTCTCGAGAAGATTCTTCGTCAGAACGCAACCGCATACAGGTGCTCGCCTTTAACTGAAAGGCTGTTGTTAAAGTGAACATAACCTCGCTTAGATTCGTACCTGTTTATTTACAGGGTAACTATTTCGTAAAATGGACTGTTTTATAGAGATGTTTGAATATGTGACAAGAAAAGAAACAGAATGTACGTCTGTAGTATTATTATTCGATGGTAGAGGTTATGTTTAAAATTCCGTCGAATATTTTTCTGTCTATATAACAGCTATTCTTGACGCAGTTTTGTCGTCGAGTATTGTAACTTTACAGTAAAATTTGGTGAATTTTGTTCTTATAAGAAGAGATCTTTTGTTGAATGTGTGAATTGGTTATGAATTTTAGTTATTATCCAATTATTGATATTAATATTCTATCTTAGCAGTAATAACAACGTAAATATAATTAGATTTTAACCACATTTTGGTATTAATTCCCGTGATATTTTAAAATTAGAAATATTTAATATCTTTTTTTCTCTACTAGATAAAATTAAAATTTATTCTACTTGAAACGAGGAATATTTTTCGCTTATTTAATTTTCTTTTATTTAAAGATTCAGTTGGGACAGATACGAGATTCTGAAGACTACTAGACGTCTTTTTAAGAACTCCAGCCTTCGTTGAAGTCTAAATTCCAAAGCTAACCAAAGCTAACCTATCAATCTGTAATAAATCTCGCACTTCGACGTTTTATCGAACACGTCACTGGTGAAGGCAGTCGTCGGAGAGTTTAAAAGTATGAAACGATCTTTCATCGCGATGTTTCAACGCGAAAACAAGTTAACTAATTACATGCTTCGATTACAGTGACACAATGAAAGTTAGACGTAACCTCGTCGAAGACTTTTCAAGTGACGTAACCTCAAAGTTCACGAGAGAGATAGCAAATCCCAGACTGGAGATGATTCGAGAGGGGGAAAAACTAGTTAATCCGGTGTTAATCGTCCGATCCGGCGACAAATATGAATACAGTCAGGCGAGGGGGAGCGGCTAGTGACCGGAAGTAACATGATTTCTCACGAAATAACTTCCTGTCTAGAGCTCCCACCGTCCCTCATTTAAAAGTTCATCGGTCCCTCGCTGCTTGTAATCCCAACTAACGGAGGTTCATCGGCACGAGGGTTAGAGAAGAAATATCTGTACGCTGGCTATGCACCATGCGTTGTTCAATGTCACTGCCATAGTAATTTTTGATCCCGATGAGAAAATACGTGGATAACACGTTATCCTATTGTCAGGATATTTTGCTCTTGAGAAATGATACTTAATAACGAGAACTGAATAGCATCGAATATATTTGATAAATTTATTTAAATATTGGACGTAAGAAAGAATCTTGTGCTTTTAGAAAAATTGTTGTATCTCCAATTTTGAAAATTTGAGATAATTGGATACGAATTGCTTTCCGCCATTTTTCAACTCTTATCATCCCCTAATTGTATTTGTTTCTCAGATTCAGAACCTTAAAAATTTTTGGTGTATGGCTAGTTTAGAAAATCAACTCCCTTGTTATTTTTGTATATAGTATGTGTAATATAAATAGCATACATATTATGTACAGTATATATTACAGCTTGCATAGCTTGTATGGTTTATATGTACAGTAGCAAGTACAGTATAGTAGTATAGTATATAGTATATCATGTATAGTATATAGTATATCAACAATTTTTTGTTAAAGCACATGGTAGGGAAAATAACTAATACATGTTGTTAAAAATAATAATACATATTTAATTGTATGTATTATTTAAAATAAATATTTCCTAGCTTTTACATTTGACCTTCCAATACAAATACTATTATTTAAAATATTAGAATTATTAATATTACTATATTTATTAATATATTATAAATATTATTATTAATATTATATAGTATTATATTATTATTTATAATATTATTTAAAATAAATAATACACATTTATATTAAAAAATCAAATGTTAAAGCTAGGAAGATGCTTAAAAGTGCTGGAATAATTCTAATTTAAATATTTCCACAGACCTTAAAATTAAATATTATAGAATTACAGATTAAACAAATTAGTTTTCAGTATTTTTCTGAACTCTTTCATTCGTTTATAAGACAAACCTTCTCACACTACTAAAAATTTTGGAACCGTTGATCTCAAGTCAAAGAAGTACCATGAACGTAACAAATAATTTTATAATATTTAGAACCGAATAAAAAATTTCTTTCCAAAAAATTATGTCAATTATTCACATTAACAACGTTCTTCAGCAAAACGAGCTTAGAATTGAGATTAAACTCGATCTGACGTACTGCTCCAGGCTGCAGAGCTGATAGCACAGAAATTTCCCTCGAACGTAATTGTATTCAAGTTACAGATCCGAATATAATCGAAAATTCCAAATTTGTTGATATTCGATATTACCAAAGAATCTGATGGAATATCTTATTATACCAGCTAAAATTTACGAAGTGAATAGGTTATTGTTACTCGGTTGCTCCGTGTTTAGAATCGACGAGGACTGGTGAACGCTAGGAATTCCTGTTTCATAACAGGAAAACGTCTGGATTCGATTTCCGCGGTTGAAAGTGTTTTCCGATGTTTCTCGGCTGATCTATCTTTTTTCGCTTAAAACATTCTCCAATTTCACACGGACACGTACACGTTTCCTTCCGTAAATAAATAGATTCTGACGTAGCCTAAAGCTAAATTAGGAATGAACTTGCTCCCGCAAGGGAGGGCTTAAAATTCCGGTCTTGGTATCTGAAATTCAAATCGGAAAACAGGAACCTATAACTCGAGTAGAAAGTATTTTATGTACTTTTATGTACACTTTTGTACACTTACTATGTACACTTGAAATTTTTTGGCTAAAGAAAGGTATGAGTTGACAAATTTTCTGCTATAAAGCTGACGATACTTTTTTGAGCAGTAAATAAGAAATCGAAGAATTATTTAATTTCGATACCTCGCACACTATTACGTTATTTTAAATTTGATATATTAATTAACCCTTTGCGGTCGATGCAGTCGAAAAAATACAAAAAACTACAGAAAATTAGAGAAATTAAAAATTTTGTATTTCTACGTATTATAAGTAGTATTAAAGACAAATCAGTTTCAACAAATTCTGTGCACTTTAATATCTATATAATGACTTTAAATTCTGTACGGAAAAGTAACTGCGAAACGCTAAATTTGCTCTGCCAAAATCTGCCGACCGCAAAGGGTTAATATCGAGCTTCGAAATTTTATCAAATGGCGACTGAAGGGCACCTCTCGAGTGCAAAGGGTTACTTATACTTTTAGTTTCTTATTATTCTTATGTTTGATCAAAATTCTTCCTCCATTTTTTTTTAAATAAAAATCTTGGTGATTAAAATATAATTTTTGAAATATGTAGAGATTGGACAATGGTAATATTTATCAACTAGTTAGCTGTGATTGACGACTACACTCGTCATGGAGAAGTGGCAGGATTTTGTGTTACGAGTATACTCGTCATGCGTAAAAAGTAGCGACCATTGGCTATTTAAATTGTAATTTTTGTGAAAAATAAAACATATTCTCAAATTTCAAGATGTTTAGAATATTTTGAGGCCAGGCCGGAATAAAACAAACAAATAAAAAATATGAATAATTTGAGATGAACTCATGCGTCCCAGTATGCACTGGCTGAAACAGCTTATCAGTTCGCGTAACGAATTTATTTATGCGCGATGATAACGTTTTTTAGATGTAAGCGTAAAGGGGGCAAAAGCAAAAGTCGGAAAGCTGATTTATGATAGGGTCCTTCAGGGATGGTCCGCCACGGGACAAATGCGTGACGCTGACCAGGCACTGAGTCCAATGATGGCTGCTGGCCCGAAGTTGCCTAGCTATTTTTTGACGGTCACTAAAATTCATAGATATCCATAAAAACTAACCAATAAGAGAATAGATGTTAACCAAATAAGTAAATATTAGTAATAAAATTGTCAATTTTATAAAATAAACTCATCTTTTTGATCCAATATTTTAACAGCGACACTTACTCTGTGATTGACGAGTATACTCGTCATCGCTCGATTTTCGCGACACATATAGGTGCGCGCTCTCAAAAGGGGGCGCCACAACTAACTGATTAATAAATTAACAATGATATAAAAGTAAATAAGTGACGGTAAGGATACGAATAATTTTTCCACTTATTATTTTATAAGGATATTGCGATATTACGATATTACAGCTCTGCTTAACTTCATAGCTCAACAACGACTCCATTATTCCCCGACTTATTACAACGCTTAACTCTTTAACTGCCACGCCGAAATGACATGTTTCCCCTAGGACGCCACAGGAGTGCACCGCTAGATGCAAGATTCGTTCTAATATTTCTTTGATGTTCCAATAAAAATTTTTAATTGTTCAATGGGGCACTGTTTATTTCAAAATATGTTCTAATTAGCGGTTATATTCAAAATGTACTAACTGTCAATTTTCTCTTCGTTGGCAACACTTCATCGCACAAATGGCGCGAAATTCAAATCTTGCCTGAATTTTGGGACACGATTAATAAAAATTGTAAACATAAAATTCTTCTCTATATTATAAATATTGTGCTATGTTTAATTTTTAATGACACTGTTAACGTGCTTGCACAGTGTGCTTTCTTTATCTTATAAGATATCAAATAACTTTCCTGTATATCCTATTTAATAACAGTTTTCTACATGGTGTTCTGAAAGTAACAAAAACCGATCCAGGATTATCTGTTCTCGAGTACAGAGTTACAATTTTCTTAACTGTTGGTGAAGCAGTTAATGTTCGAGAAACTTCAACAAACTATAATAGGATGTCATTAAGAGATACAGAACATGGTAAGATAATAGTTAGCCAAGTTCTAAATATACTTGAAAGCAAGAACCTACAATTACATTAACAGAGTATTACAATCCTGCTAACCCTTTCCAACTTCGCTCCAACAGAGTTTAAACGTTTCTTTTCGCTGTTAAATTAATTACAAGTTAACTTGAAAATGGAACTTTAAGTATCGCAGATTTGAAACCCCTTAAACACCGTACCAATTTTAACAGGAAATGCATTAAAAATAAAAATACCAAAAAATATCAGAGGATGATAGAAGGAAAATGTACTATCGATATGTGAAATACACAGGACGTGAAAAATAAATTAAAAAATAAAATTAACTAAAGAAGTAGAAAATGAAATACAGCGATTTATGAAAACATATTGAATAAGCATGTACATGCATAGGAAACGTTCAATATATATGATAATCTCCTCTTCATACGTGACGAGAATCAAATTGAGACTAACCCTATATTTAGAAATTATTACATAATTTTCTTCTTCAAGGAAATTTAAATAAACACAAATGCAATGTAAAAATGCCTGCCATCTCTTAAAAAAATTATAATAAACTCGGAATACTACTATACAAATGTACATTCTTCTGGTATACACTTTAGCATATTTTTAGTATTTGTTAGCATACTTACAGTATACATTTGAGCAACTGTACAGAATTTCTGAAAAATAATGCTTTTCAGAATAAATAATTCAGAAAGAATTATAGACCGAAAGATCAACCCCCTAGATTCCCTAATGAAGAAGCTCAAAGCTCGAAACCCAAAGCTCAAAGCTCAAATGCCAAAGCTCGGAAGCTCAAAGCTCGGAAGCTCAAAGCTCGGAAGCTCAAAGCTCGGAAGCTCAAAGCTAGGAAGCTCAAAGCTCGGAAGCTCGAAAGCTCGAAAGCTCTGAAGCTCTACTGTTATTTCAACGCCACCTAGAAAATACGTAAACGATTTCGTACACTTTTGGATGATCGAATTGTCCTTATGCAAAGCATAGACAACACTTTTATTTTCCACGACGATTATTCAGCTATTGTTTCAAGAGTTGCTACTGGTCTAGGGGCCCCAGGCAAGATCGAACTGCAATTAACACCGTATCTACGGAGTCACAAGGTTGGTTTGTCCTTATGTAGTCACTCTTTAGTCATCCTTTCCACTCTCGCAAAATTTTTTAATTCGAATAATAAATAAAACTTCAGAGTTAAAAGCTTAACTGCAACTAAGGCAATGTATGCGGCTACTTCGCACATTTATATGACGTTTGACAGTCATCCGTAACAAATGACGTTGCAACAGCAACACAGAAGGCTAGACATGTCTCACTGTCCTTCTAGCGGACTAAGCGATGTAATTAACGCAAAAGCACAGAACAAGTACAACAATACAACCAACAATAGTCATCCGTAACAAATGACGTTGCAACAGCAACACAGAAGGCTAGACATGTCTCACTGTCCTTTTAGCGGACTAAGCGATGTAATTAACGCAAAAGCACAGAACAAGTACAACAATACAACCAACAATCAGACTCAACAGATTAGACCCATGTGTGATTGACCCACCGAAACGACAGACCTCTCTAACCATAAAAATCGAGATACTGATGATCAAAACAATACCAAAAGGCAACTTCCTTGACAGTTTCCTACTCCTCATTAACAAATTTTTAACCTACTTATCCTAACACTCCTTGCCTTTCTACAAAATAGTTCATCAAACTGTGTTGAAAATGAATTATTTTATTAAGTTAACAAAATCTTCATTGAGATATTATTTAAAAATTTCTCTCGATTGCTGAAGTAATTTATGTACAAATAAATAGAAGAAGAAACGTTGAAGAATATATTTTCTACATAACTTCTAATATCTTGTAAATTAACAAATTTTTAATGTACTTATCCTAACACTCCTTGCCTTTCTACAAAATAGTTTATACAGGGTGTTGCTAGCAACAGTATCCCTTTGCTGCCTTCGTGCGACAAATAACAATATTCAATTTGACGTCAAATGGCGTCATCCGTAGATAAAGTGTTAAGATGGCGTTGATGATAAAATCCTGGAAATAAAATTTCGTCGAACAATATCGTTCCTCGCGAGAATACCAATTTTCCTCGAGCATGTGGTACAACTTGCTAAAGTATCGTGTGATAAAGTATAATTAATGAGACTTTGGTGCGCAAACTTGCATTATAAAACACGAATCGACGTTCCTTGTTAATTGCCCTCTTGGTATGTACGATTCGCGAGTTTAATAGTAGCGAAAATAATTAAACGGATTCTCAAGACTTACCTCGAGTACGTCCTGTGCGGTCTGAAGATATTCTCGAAGCATTGCCTCCTGAATGGCTCGCCATTCTTGCCTTGGATCCTCGAGCTGCGTCGTCTCTGAAACGATCCAAAAAGAGGCAAGATTAACCCTTTCGCTTCGACAGTTCAGTTCGTCGAAGTACCGTCATTGAACAGAAGCACGCGCCAGAAATATGCACAGTGCGTGTGATTTCTTTGTATTTCTGTACGCTTTCCTAAGTTTTAAATAACAACTGTGCTGAATAAAACAATCGTGTACAGATTGCACTTATATACGCATTATTTGGATGCCGAATATATGGGGTGCCCGTACCCAGAATTCATCGCGTGGACGCCACCTATATGCGGCGCAAGTATCCACAAGTTATCTCGTGGATGTCGCTTATAAGCGGCGCTCGAAGTGAAAGGGTTAAGGGGGTATTCTAACCTAGAATCTTCAATATTCACCATTTTTTATTAATGTTAGTATAAAGTAATTTTAAATAATTTAAATATTTAATATTCTAATTTTTATAATTATTGGTCGTTTGAAATAACTAGAATTAAACAATTAAACGAATAATTACTATTAAATATATCAATATCAGTGAGATATCTAATCGTGTAGCAGATATCGTACACCTAATTTCTTAAGTCAAAGGGTAGTTTTACTCCACTAACAATAAGTGCTTATGATTATACTGCATGGAGTGTTCAGGCAATATAGGAAAGGGGAGTCTATCGAAGTTAATAAAGGTAGGAGATATGAAAATAAAATTAGAAAGGAATTAAGTAAGATTATCCAAGTAAAAAGAAGCAAATAAGATGATAATAAAATTATAATAATGAGTTTGATTGCACCAAGAAGATATTCTGTTTATACTGGAAGTAATAATAAATAAACTGAGAATGTTTATGCAAATGCATATTTCCATAGAAAATTGGTAATAAAATGGAAGCTAGATAAGAAACTTGTTTTAATCATATACTATTTATTTTTCATATTTAATATGTCTTTCGTATCTTGTGTAAGACATATGCAGAAATACATTGCATATTTCAAATGCTATATATTAAATACTGAGAAGTAATGTCTTTTTCTAATTAAAGAATATCAATTTTGAAAAGTCACCTTTTGCACAGTACATTAACCTGTTATTAGTAAATGTAATGCAGGGTACTATAATACAGTAAAAAAATCTATGACACAGTTAAAATGTAGCACATGTGAGATTTTCGAATAAAATAATTCACATATTTGAAATAATCTACATATAGTATGCTATAATGTACATATGATATTTTAATTTTGCTTAAATTGCACAATATTTCAAAATATCATGAAAAATTCAAGGTAAATATAAAGACTGAAAAAGATATTTATTCTTGTAAATATAAAGACTAAAAAAGATATTTTCACTAAGAGCTACAATCTGATACATAACACTGAGCAAAAACAATAGGTGTTACCTACTTTTAAATTGCAAATCAAATATATTATTTTTCCTTTCTTGAATCATGACATCACTTAGGAAAAAATTAAATAAGAAAGAAAGGAATAAAATTTTTCTTCAATTATAAATATACAGAAACAAATGTATGAGAAAAGAAGATTAATTTTATATTAGAAAACATAAAAGAATAAAGTATTAGAAAATTGCATAAGGTTAAAAACTTCAAAATTAAAAAATTTACTGGAAGTGAGGAGACGTGATCAAAATAACAACTTAGGATAAAGAACAGCTGAACAGAAATAAAAGTGTGAATACACTGAAAACAGTAAAGAAGAAGAAATATAGGAAGTAAGAGAAGAATTTTTGATAATTCTTTACAATACCACTACTAGAGAGTTACATTCTTATATAATCAGTTACAAAAATATTGGTACGCACAATTTAATTCTACATTCTACTATGATTTCACTCTTCCATCACTACCATAAATATTATACTTGATATTAACTATACTCTAACATATATACACATATACTACAGCATTATATTTCATATTATTATATTATTAAGGTTTATAACAATATAGCTTTATACTCTACATTATTATATTATTATGATTGATACAGCATATAATGTAATTGTAGCAAATTGTACTCTACAATGACTATACTTTAGCATAACAATATATTTTTTATTCACTAGATGTTTATGTAACATACATAAAAATCAAATTATATTCATATCAGAATATTTTTCTGTGACTGGTTGTGTATCAAATATGAAATATTTTGCTTTGAAATTATACAATACTTAAGTATGAATTATTTATTGTCCATCTTTGAATATATTTCTGAATATACTATGTATTTTGCTTGTTAATAATGACTACTGCAGTCTTTTTACTATTTCAAAAATTTGTAAAACTTATAAACAAAATATATTGATAATTAGTAAAATTGGTGTTTCATAACAATGATTGTTTCCCAATTCTAAAATTAAAGAAAGAAATTATAATTACTTATAATCTTTAGTTTTGATTTTGTTTTCAAAATTCCAATTATAAAGAGAAAATTCTGATTCTGAAGGGAAACAAGTAATTATGATGGAAGTACAAAAATGTTGAAATGCGATGATCAGTTATAGTTATTACTGGATATCCATTATTATGCATTGCATGAGAAGTAGAAAATTAACTACTATCAATATATTATTATTATTGTATTAATTTTTTATTATTAACTATCAGATATACTACCATTATTATCAACATTTGGTTATTAAAGAAACAGGTACTTGAGAACTTAAAAGCAAACAACAATTATAAAAAGAAAATTTTTATATAAACTTTGAAATATGGATCTTCTGATTATTATTCATCAAATTACTATCACATATTATAATTTTTTAAAGTGTATCAGTTAAAAATAATTAAATAATGTTCATAATAAATAAAAGTATTATATATATAAATAGATATATATATAATGTAAAAAATATTATACAAAATTTATATATATAAAAGAAATTAAAATTTGTAATACATTTGTAATTAATTATTGTAAGCAATTAATTTCTTAATTTTATAAGTATATATAATAATTGAGATCACATAATCAGTGTAAGAATATTTTTACCAAATTGACTCAAGACTAAAATTTGCAATACAGTTAGATATGACATTTATTAATGGTTAATTAGATATAAATATTAAATATAATTATATATATAATAAATAAATAAATAAATGAATAGAGAAACTCACGATTGACATGATTAATGTAGTATGCACCCACGTGCTTGTCATAAGCTTCTTCCCATCCAAGTGGAAGCTCGTTTCCAATACAATCTGCGAACGTTTGAGGTTTGGTGAACCTGTAATTAGAAGGAAGAAAGCTCTTTAATTCACACTAAAATGTACTTCTCTTTCAAATCTTCATACTACTTATTTTTAGTTTAATATCCTATACTTCTATTATATTTTCACAAAATTAAAAATTATAATTTTAGTATTTTTAACAAATTAAAGATTCCTTTTTTAATACTTCCAAAAAATTAGAAATTCCTATTTTAATATTAAAGAAAAAGAAAATTATAAATCCTGTATCTCTAAAAAAAATCTAAAAATTGAAAAATGGATGAATAAATATTTTTATATTTCACAACATACGTTGAAACCAAATTCACTTCGCTCGTTATCAAAAATCTTTTATTAAACGTGCGATGGTATTGCTAATTAAACAAAAAATATTTTTTATCTGTTATATTTGCGTTATTATAGCACCCAAAATAATTCTCGCAATCAATTTGCGTCAGTAGTCGTTAATTGACGTCAGAAATTTGTCAAAGCGATTTAGCCTTTAAACTTTATTGTACTCCTTGCTATAACGAGAAACTGCTGCCAAAATCTGCTAGAATTATTTAAAGTGGCAACGTAATAATGGAATTTTTTTTTTTCAAAATAATTTTTGTTCTCCAAAAGCTACTCCAATTATTACATTTTATTTTCATGAAAAATTAAATAAACGAGAAAACCGTATATACAGGGTGATCCACAAATAAAATTCCTTAAATAAATTATCTATTTATTTTTAACGATTTGTAAAAATATTTTTATACATGTATACGTGTATAAAATTATATATTTTCTTTTTCTGTAAAATAGACACGAACTAATCATTGAATTAATAATTTTTAATATTTTATTATGAAATGATAATTTTCCACGATTTTATGTTTCATAATTTTAGTAACTGGATTTAGATCCGAGTGAAATATATTTCGACTAATAATTAAAATAAAATAATAATTATTCGATATTACTTTAATATCATTATTAGATATTAATTTCAAATTATTTTATATTATTTTTAGTAGTCTATGATGTTATACCATCGCGTATTATTTTTAATAGTCCATACCACTGTACAGTAATAAGTAACTGTACAACTTATAATTACGCAGATACGAGCAGACTTAGGCGAAATTTATTTCGAACGATAATTTAAAAATAATTATTTCAAATGACGTTAATTATTATTCGATAAGTAACGTTTCCCAATCGATATTATTTTCTTTATTTGATCAATTAAATTATAAATTAAAGAATTTGTTATTCGAGGAAATATAACATATTTATTATTCAAAAATTATTTCTAAAATAATATTCGAAATAAATATCAAACAAGAAATATAAATAATAATTATATCAATCGTGTTAATAAAAATCAGTAATAATATAAGCATTTAACATTGTATATTCAAAAACTTGACATTTTCATCAAAAACAAATAACAAATAACCATATTAAATAGCAAATAACTTATTTCGTGAAATAACAAATAAAATTTATTTATTTAATTATAAATATTATAAATTAATTTATTCTTCGTGTGAAATTCACGAAATATCTGTAATATATTACATCAATTCAAAAATAGATTAACCCTCAAATAACTTTAGAAAGTAATTTTAAAATAATGAAATTTGAAAATTCCCCAAAATGCCCAGGGCCTGCATTATACTCGTATTGGCTCTGCCAAAAAGGCACGATCAACGTGCAATCAATGTGTAGAAAATAGAAACAGTCACGGGATTTCTAAGAAAATTCCATTTTCAATCAAGAAAATATCTTTGGGATAGTAAAATAAAACGAGATCACATTTAGTAAAAATATTGTTTTACATTCCTAATTTATAAAACAGAAGATATCGATGAAATTATCGCTAATGAACAGTTTGCTTTGCAAAATACGTGAGAAAAATCATATATCATACGGTAGATTACAAATTTTGAGGTTAAGTAAAATTCGTTTGCAAAAGAATCGATTAAAGATAGAATGGAATTTCCATCTATTAATAACTAGCTCGTAGCAAACTTTAATGTTCGCAAATAAATAGTTTATATTATCTGACTCTAACTTTAAAATAAACCTAAATGTACTTGATCCTAAGTTTAGACATCGGAGTCTAGTATTCCTTTATTCGAATCCTGCGGGCAAGAATTTTCACAAACATTTTTGTGCTAATTTCTATAGTTATTGTATAATTTTCTTTTTTTATTGCTTTCTAATTTATTTGCAGCACAATTTTTAAAAAATACGAATATTTGATTAAATATTCATTTATGCGTAGGTATATTAATTATTATATAAAAATTCTATTTTCGTGTAATTTTTATATAAATTTAAGTTAATTTTCAAACCATCTTAAGTAATTTTTACAGGCATTTTTATACAATTTGAAGCAATTTTTATGTAATTCTTGCATTACTTTCGTTTTTACATAACGTTTAACGTAATTTTGAAATACTTTTTAAAATAATTTTTGAAAGACTTCAAATAATTTTTACGTAATTTCTAGATCATTTTTACCTAAATTTCGTGTAATTTTGAATTAATTATCAAATATGATTTTTAAGTAATTTTTACGTAACTTTTAACGTGGCTTTTAAAATAATTTTCAAGTGCCTTTTGGCGGTAGAAATATTCGCTGTGCCTTTGGTCGAAAGGCCATGATTGTTTTCGTATTTTAGTAGCAATGAGATCAAGGAACGCCGATGACAAGGCTATGACGCAATCTCAAAAGATTTCGAAGGTTCGCGTAGGAATTCGCCAAAACGAAAACCAACCTTGGTTCAAGAAGTTTACTCAACACAGAGAGATCGTATAATCGACTCTTTAATCCTAAATACCACAGACGTTACCAAATTATCGATTTGATCTTTCGAGCATGCCCCAATGAACTACTCATCTTCGTTTCTTTACTCTTAAAAAAAAAAAGAAAAAAAAAAAAGAGAAATGGTGCTTAATTCTTTGCACTACAATGATCTACACTGATCTACGATCTTCGTGTCCAATTTCGAGATCATAAGCTATACTAAAAGCTTTACTATATATAGTATATTATAGCTATATACTATAAGCTATACTAATCACGCGACCATAATTATATTTCACGCGTCTTAATATACACAGTATTCTTAGAATTTCTCAAATTTTTATCCATTCTTATCGTCCATGAAATAACTGGTACACAGTGGGTAATTAGAAATAAATACTACTTCGATGTATAATTTTTCGTAATTAAATCACAGTGCAAGGGATTGATATCGAAAAACTATATTGAAATAATGTGGAAATTTGAAATGATATTTATACAATTCAAATACGTGATATTCGTACAATGAATCATGAGTTTTGGATAGAATAAAAATTATTATACAATGAAATATAATGATCCTCATTCATTTCTGTAATTTATATTTGGTATAATTTTATAGGCTTTTAAATTGTATTTCTATTTATTTTATAAATTTGAATTATATTTAAAAATATTATTATTATTGTTGTTGTTGTTGTTGTTGTAATAGAAATGACTAATTTTTCTCTGCACTCAGAAATCTTTTCTGTTAAACTTGATACTTCTGCTAAATTTGAAAGATATTACTTTGGTATTACTATTATTACTAAACTAATTATTCTCAAAATTATAGCTCCTCATACAAATATATAAATATATAAACAAAGATACGTAAATTTAAATATTTACCATTTACAAAAGTAAATTATTTAAACGTATTTTTATTTATGATAATATAAATAATAATTACATTATATACAACAATTATCTAACTATTAACGACTCTGCTTAACTGGCCACTGTTATTGTTACATCATTATACTGCTATTGAAGCAGTCTGTACTCTATACACGTTTCACATTACACTGTCCAACAAATTTTAACCTTTTCTCTAATCCGTAATATCCGATAAACGGTTCTCGTGGAGCTGACTTTTCTAAACACGAATCTGCAATCGAAATTGCGATATCACCCTCGGTTTTCAAAAAATGTGCGTTTTTCTAAAAAGATACGATTTTTGTCTAAAATTAAGTATTACGTAAAAAGTAAGAACGTTAGGAGGTTCATTGTTGGCTTAAAAGTTAGGTTAGAATATTCTAAGTTTATCAATGTTCATAATTATTATGATTCGCGTTGCTGAATAATTATAATTGGTCATCAAAATTAAAAAATAAACCCCTGAGCGTATTTTCTATAAATATTCTTACATTTTTAGAAAAAGTTGTTCATCTAACACGAATTTGCTACACAGTAGCGTATTCTATAGGCTTTTCTTAAGAAGAAACCATCTAGGAACAATATTAAAATGACATTCGATCTTCATAGGACGGTAAAATATATATCCGCAAACCTGTAAGCGAAATTTTTCCGCCATTATTCATCCGTCTAGCTTCATCAGGGCCGTAGTTATGCGTAATCAAATCATCGCCCAGTACATCTCATTTCTTATATATATCACATGTGTATGTCATATATTATATCATATAATACATATATCTCGTGTAGTCTTATACTAATCGTAAAATTATAAGAAATTTTTCTGAATCATTTGTCATTTGAAACAGGTTCGTTATTCGATACATAAATATGAATGACTCTTTAATATGAAGTAGTTAAAAAATAAACTCCCACCTAACTTTTAACATGAGAATGAATCTTCCAACGTTTTCACTTTTCGTGTAATATTTCATTTCAGCCAAAAATACAGAGGAAATAAAAATATTTTGACATACATATGTGTATCATAGAAATTTATTCTATGAGGAGATGCAAATGCAGTTTTAGTTTATAAAACGTGTATAAATTATCGAATTTATTATGAATTAGAAATTATTCACAACATAAATTTATAATGAGAATGAAAAAATTAATAAATTATTGGCTATTATTTTAACTTATAAGGTACTTATGTTAAAAAGAACCTATAATTTGCAAAAAGTTTATAAATTATTATACTGATTGTTAATAACAAATTAATATTGTTAACGACAGTGTTCACAATATAAATCTATAATA